AAGACCCCATCTCTATAAAAAATAGAAAAATTAGCTGGATGTGGTGGCACACACTTGTAGTCTTAGCTACTCGGGAGGCTGAGGCAGGAGAATCACTTGAGCCAGAAAATTTGAGGTTTCAGTGAGCTATCATGATGCCACTGCACTCTAGCCCAGGCAACAGAGCGAGACCCTGTCTCCAAAAAAAAAATGATGCTTTCCTTTGGTCTAATGAACTTACTGTCACAGAACAGAGAAAAAGAAAACCGTGTTCATGCCCACAAATCTTTGCAAATAATAGAATTCTGATTTATAAAAGTGGAAAAGCAGGTTTAAAAACAAATAAACTAGGCCTGTAATCTTAGCACTCTGGGAGGCCAAGGAGGGAGGATTGCTTGAGGTCAGGAGTTCAAGACCATCCTGAGCAAGAGCGAGACACCATCTCTCCTAAAAATAGAAAATAATTAGCTGGGCAACTAAAAATAGAAAAAATTAGCCAGGCATGGTGGCACTCACCTGTAGTCCCAGCTACTCAGGAAGCTGAGGCAGGAGGATCGCTTGAGCCCAGGAGTTTAAGGTTGCTGTGAGCTAGGCTGATGCCACAGCACTCTAGCCCAGGCAACAGAGCGAGACTGTCTCAAAAAAACCAAAACAAACACAGAAAAAACAAATAGACTGTGAGATGTGTTAGTGTGAAAGCCTTTATGTTTTAATTTAGAGGGCTGTCCTGTGTTTAGATTCTTTCTTCTCTAGCAACTCTTAGTAAGGGGAAAATGTAGAGGACTGTTAGAAAAGAAAAGATATCTTTTGTCCATCTGAGTCCATCTGGCTAAAAAAGATTTTTAGGTGCCTTCAACTTTACCCCCACCTCAATATTTGGCTGGATCATTTGAGGCCAAGTGGGAAATAGGGAGTTATTTTTCATTCAGATTCTTGCTTAGCTCCAGGTGAGGTTGAGCCTTTGGCTCAGCCCTCAAGCTTATGCATTTTTTTCTTCCTGTTGTACAAAGGTGCTCTGGCCAACAAAGTGAAGAGGAAAGACACACTGGCAATGAAGTTGAACCATAGACCCAGTGAACCAGAATTGAACTTGAATTCGTGGCCTCATAAAAGCAAGGAGGAGTGGAATGAAATACGACACCAGATTGGGAACACACTGATCCGGTAGGCCTGTGCTTAGATTACCTTGATTTAATTTAATTGTGCTGGTATGTGTGTTAGATGTTTGCTTTGTGGTGGGCCATTCATTTATCTTTCTTTTAAATTTGATTTTTAAAAATACACATTGGGGCCGGGCGTGGTGGTTCACGCCTGTAATCCTAGCTCTCTGGTAGGCCTAGGCGGGCGGATTGTTTGAGCTCAGGAATTCGAAACCAGCCTGAGCAAGAGCGAGACCCCGTCTCTACTAAAAATAGAAAGAAATTAATCGGACAACTAAAAATA